AAGTAATTTAATTTTGGACATTGATTAACATCTTAATTCAGATTCTGAGATCCTTTTCTATCCAGGTCAGCTGCTAAGGATTTGGTGAGATGAATTTCATAAGCCAACAATGGAAGTGTTTGCCCAAGACCAGGGGAATTGTAACAGCAGTGTGCTCTTGCTTACAAGTGCTTTCCTTTTTGACTTGAATCACTTGATCAGTAGCAGAATGAACTGTTTAGCCTTTAGTCTGTGTATTAAATTTGAGACACTTAAAACGGAGTCAGAGGGCCCTTTGCTGTTGATTTGCTTCATACTTAGGGGTCTCCAACACCTTGTTCATGGGAGAAGAGAAATAAGGGGTATCAAATTCCCTAAATACTTGTTCTTGAAGGAAGTGTTTGTAGACAATTCGTATGATGTAATGCTCTTACGTGTGATGGCAGGATCCTACCATTCCCTCTATGTATTGATCTCTTTCCAGAAGCAGCTTCCTTCAGGTATTTAAACAGTAAATATGTGATCTGCCAGTGGGACTTGCTGCAGTATAAGGTAATGTTCAGTGGGAATCAAGACTGACAGTCAGTCTATATTATCTAAAATCTGCACAGCACCAGTGCTTCAGAAACAAAGGATTTAATTTTTTTTAGTCCGTGTGAGAAACAGCAACATTTTTGTAATATTTTTGTTAAGCAAGGTAACAATCTATGATTTTCCTGCTCTTTGACCCAACGTAAGGTGGGGGATGTGGGGTGTGTGTTTGCCCAGACATTTGTAAAGCCTTTCTTTTGCTCTGATCTATCCCCAGAGCAGGTTGTTTAAGTCATTTTTTTACTGAGGGGTTAAGATTAGACTATGTTAGAAAATGTTTGGTGTATTTTACATTGATTTATCTTAATTGTCTGAAATGCAAGTGAGTTGTTATGGATGGATGGATATGTGTATAAAGTCCCTGCAGAAGGCAGGTTCCCAAACATTTTGTTCTTTTACTGGGATGACACCAAATTAATCTTTCTTTCTGAAATGATTTATAAGGGTTTTTAGGTAGAATTGTCTACCTCATCTCACTTTCAAACCTAGCATATGTAACAATTTTAGCAGGGTCTTTAATGGGGCTATAATAGGTTGCGGACTAAAGAAGTTAGTGTCCTTTGAGGCATCTAGTCCAAGCCTTTGCTAAATCACTTTTATTTTGTGGAGGAGCTGACGGACTCAGCAGAGACACAACAGGTCATAAGGCACAACTTCCAGCAGTTTTTTAGTTAGCGTGAGGGAAATACTCTTTAACTGCTGAGAACATCTGCTATGTTGCTTAGCTTGACGCTTTGGAAGTCTCTGGTTAGCGCTTCATTCTCAGGTACCTCTGTAATGCTATCTAGCACTGCAGAGCTATAGCAGAAGGTTCAGAGATAACACGCACATTACTCATTTTCCTTCCCCTGTCTTTTCTTTTGTTGTATTTTCAAGGGGTTGAAATCAGCAGCTCTTCAATCACCTACTTTACTTGTTAAGTCTGTTTTAGGAAAAAGTGACTTTCCATGAAGTTAAGAGGCATCATGTTCACAATGATGGCATCTTATTATTTTAAAAACTGGAATTGAAGAGCTCTGTTAACGACAGGAATACAAAAATGCCAGTCAGAGCAACCCAGTAGGGTCTGAGGCTGGCAGTAACTTTTAGCCTGTGAATCACTTGGAGGAGTAACCTTGAATCACTCCTGGTGGCTGACACATCACTGTTCAGAAGGGGCCACCTCTGACCTTGATTCAGTGAAGGTCATGCTGCTGATTCCTGATTACTAAAGTGCAATTAGGGCAAGAATCAGGCCCAAACAATTTCAAAACCTCACAGGACAGTGTGCAGTTGGGTAAGGTGCCAGTTCTAGTTCTAGACTACTCCCAGGCTTACGCCTGGGACCACTTCAGCTATTAAAATGTTAGAAAATGGCCAGAAAGTCCAGGCCAGATCATCGCAGGATAGGGGTTAGCTTTTTGTTCTGCATGAAGGAATTTGCAACTGAACATTTGTACAAACAGGCAGTGTATGCAGTTAGCCTTTGGGAGAATGTCTGTTTATGTCCCCACAGATATAAGCAGGACATCTGGAAGTCCCTGTGTAAATATTGTGCGGTCTATTTTTATTTTCAAGAAATAGCATTTTGTCATACAGAGATATGTGTAAGGAAATCTTGGTCAAGCAGCCTGTCTGTCAGAAGACCCTCTTCATCTCTCACGCCAACTCATTTCCCATCCCTGCCTCTACCCAGGTTCTCAGTAAATGTCTTAGTCACAGCCAAGTGACTGCAGTCCAAGAAGGCAGGTAGCAAAATGGGAAACGCTCTTCCATAAAGAAAGGCATGTCAGAATAAGCTGCTTATCACAAATTCCTTCTAAAACACCCCAACTGTAACAGAAACAGATATCTTATTGGCAATACCATAATGTTTGCATTCACATACCAGCTGTTACTCTTTCCCAGAGGGTCTTGTTTTTTTAAAAGGCTGGTGAAGGGCATTTTTGTTAAGCAACAGATCTAATCTTATTTCCTATATTGGCTGTATCTAATTTTGCCTTGGGACTTCAGATTTTGCTTTATTTTTGTGGTATATGTGCTACCATAGAGTGAATTCTCTTTTCTGAATATTTCTGACAGGCTGGCAACAAAGTGTGGTACACCCTGTAATTAAAAGCAATGCATACTTCTATTAAGGATTATTGGATTATCAGTTTGTGGGTTTTTTTAAACATTATGTATGACTGAGTGCTGGAGTAATTGGCACACTAAATTTATGAGTGACTGTTAACAAATGAACTTTGTTTACTGAAACTGAAATAGCAAAGCTATTCCTGAACCAGAAAGGCTGGCAAATTTTTGGCCTGTAATAAATGAAACACATAGCACAAAGCAGGAGGGAAAAAAAAAACATTGCTTAGAGTCAGTTCTGAGCAGGAATTACTGAACATTTTTTTTTCTTCTTTGTAAAATAACTGCAGTATATAAAACAATTTGGTTTCAATATCTCCCTGTAATTGAATTAGAGCATTTTTAAATTCTCTTGAGCGTTAATTTGAGGAAAACTAGACTTCCAGAAATATCTTTTGTATGCAATATGACATAATCATATATAGCACATATGTATATGCATATGTATATAATTTATAACAATATAAAAATTTATATTAGAGCCTGAAGGCTCTAACTGGTTTACCTGGGTTTTGAATGCCCAGGACTTTAATTGATGTGCTGAGAATCTATAAGTGGTCACATGTGTCGTGCGATATATAAGTGTGCATCATAGAACAGTATCAACAAGACAAATATGTATCAATTTCAGTTGTTCAGGCAGTTCAGAGGAGAGCTGGCCAGATACTTGAATGCCAGGGTTATAGGAAACTCAAGCCTAGAAATGCTTTTTTTTATTATTACTTTTTAATTTTTATTTTCCTTTTGCCTTCTAGCTTATTTATGGACAGCATTCCAGAGCATTTGTGTTGTTTATCATCCTTCTAGCTTATTTATGGACAGCATTCCAGAACGTTTGTGCTATCTTCTTGTTTTCTTTTTTTTTTAGTCTCTGTGCTTCAACATTGCTTAACCAAAGAGTTTATAGCACATACATAGGCTTCCTTTTAGTCCACTCCACTCTGTTGTGCAGTACTGATATACACCTGTGACTAAATAAGATGAAAAAGGATGGCTCTGAAGTATTAAGTATTGTGCATCACTTTTCAGATATTGGTGATTTTAGTTGTTTCTAGAACTACTTTCTTGGTTTACCTAACAGGTAAACATTAAATGCTGTGTGTTCATGTTACAATCTTGCTGTCTTTGATTTTATATTTAGATAGTATTTTATATTTATAGAATTTTATTTATAGAAAAAGTGGTGATATGCCAATTATTGCACCTGGAAAGACTTCAGTGCTCAGGAGGAAAGAGACTGCTAGATAGAAAAGTCTGGCTCGTATCAGCAGGTCTGCTACTGTGACTCAGAAAATAAGTATTACAGCAGTGATGTATATGTAAATAATGTCTGTTCTTTCATGTTAAGCTTTAAGACAAGACTTTGTGTAAAATATAGAAATGCAGAAGTAAGAGCCATGCAACTGAAATGAAGTCTAAGACTGATAAGCAAGTTCAGGTCATGAAAGAAGAGTGGTTTTTTTCAATTGCATGTATTTGGCATTTATCACTTGCTACAGCAGGCTGCATTATTCATGCAAATACAGAAGAGCTTCTACCTTCCAGTATTTTTTTTTTCCCATTTAATAAAAACACTATAAGAAGAGATGGACCAGGAACAATTCTTTTAGACTAGAACTGTTCCTTGTGCTATCTTAGCCTTAAAGAGAAACTGAACACATTTAAAACGGAGTCAAAATACAGCTAGTCGATAAAGGATGTAATAGCAAAGAGCTCCCCACATCCCCTTCAGCTTTTATTTGGATTCTGCAAGGGAAGGATGTTGAAAACAACATGAAAGAAAAAAAGTTAGGAACGAAGGTGACTATTTCTTTGCTTTCAGTGACTTTACACATAGCAAGCTGAGGTGAGAGGGTGAGCCCTCCTTGAGAAGGCGTCCTACGATTTCTCAAGATAACACAGCTAAGCAGTGAAAGCATCCCCCGGAACTCACCTTAACCTGCAATCTGAGGATAGGGAAGGGGCGAGGTGGGAATATTTACCCGGGCAAATTCAAGTGCAGCGTTCCCCGCCGCCACTAGTTGTCACTTTGCAACCAGCCGGGGTCGGTGTTTTCAGCACTGCGGTTAGCGAGATTGCGGTGCTAATTAAACGGAGTAACTCCCAAAGCCGCGGAAAGTCCCGAGCCCGGGGTTGTGCGGTAGCCGGTCTCGGGGAACCGAGAGGAAGCGAAAAAGCAGTTCGAGAAAAGGACAGCGATGTTCCGCCTAAGGCTGAGGCTGTGTCTAGGGGCTGTGCCCTGAGCTTGGGGTGGGCACGGCGGTCCAGCCCGGCAGTGCCCAGTGCGCACACACTCCTCCCGTAAAGCCGAGCCTTACCTGAAGAAAACGATCGTCTCCCACACGTAGACTCCGAGCGCGTTGACGTTGCACATTTTTCCAGCTCTCGCTGTTGTTTTGGTTTATTTTTTTTTTATTTTTTTTTTGTACTCCGTGAGGGCTGGGCTTATTTATTTTTTTTTGTACTCCGTGAGGGGTGGGCCGGTGGGGGTTGGCCAATAAAGTAACCCGGCACTTGGGGAGAATTGGTAGGGGAAGCCAGCCGCCCCTCCCGA